TGTGCGGTCAGTCAGACATTCAAACAAATTAAATAAATTTACTTTCGATTTTATTTCTATTTAACCAATTTGGAAACAAATACAAACACGCACACACACATGCTCGTATGTGATCCGTTTTAAACGAATTTATGACTTTGAAGTCAATTAAATGTTTGTTTTTTTTTCATGCATACTCGTACATGTATATGTTTTTATCTTTTTAGAAACTATCGTGTCAAGCAGCGACGACAAAAACAGCAACAGCAGCTAGTGGGGCGACATCATCTTCAATCACAAAATAACAATCGGCAGCATAACTTTAACCCTCAAGCCGAGTAACATCATTTGCGATAATGATCCGACAATCAAATAAGCTATGGTGTGAATGCCAAGCCAATGGCATGTCAAATGAGACGACAATCCCCCCTCTGCCCCCTCCTAACCTAGGTTTCAATTTCAACCTTAACATGCAACCTAGTTCGGTTCGGTTCAGTTCAGTTCGGTCAGTTCGGTCCGATGTCGAAACTCACTCACGCACTTAATTTGATTTAAAGTGGGAAACTGTCCAAAACAGAGAAACCCAACCAAACCAGCAATCAACCGAGCGACCAACCGACCGAACGACCCAGCCAATCCTAAGATACCAACAACTTAATACAAAAACTTCACTTAACTAAAACAAGAAAATGAAATAGGGAAACGCCGACTACGAACAAACCTTGCCAAAAACTCTAATATCAAATGTTCTTCAACTGCTCCAATATAAAAGGAAGCGATCCCTTTGATGGCTCTATGGTGGTAAGATCACTCAAAGGCTATTCTTCGGTCGCCATACTTAGAATCTCATTCAATAATTATCGCAGAAGCTGTAGAGCTGACGAAGGCAACCCTTTCTAATCGACCCCATGTAGATACCATAGTTAGAGATCGTAAAAATAGCTAAGTTCATTTAAAAAACGGGTGAATAAAAGCACTCCCAAAATCTATCTCTCTGAAAGGGACATACTTCTTTGCGTACGTGGAGTTAGGTCCATCCTAAACTGTTTAAATATAGACACATTATATTTAACCCACGCACTACGGTCCAATATTTCTGGTTCTCAAGTACATATGTAAGTACAAGTTGACTGTAAAAATTGACAATTAACGCAGCAACAGTTCACATAATTATAATTGAATGATAGTATACTGGTATAAGACTAGAGTTTCAAAAATCAGTTTAGAATTTAATTCAACGAAGAAAAAGATGTTTTCCTTAAGAATCCCCTTCATAGCTGTCATGATGGACTGTTATACCCAGTCATGCCCGTTATCTATTTCCATTGATTTGCTTATTTAGAGTTGGTTGTGGAAAATTCGACCCTAAGTTGGGGAAAAATGGTGCCGCTTGCAATATATTTTCAAAATCATTCTTTTACAACCAATAGATAAAAACTCCCTTGAAACCTCTTTTATATATTGAAGAGCTGCAAATATCGAATTTTTATTAAAACAACTGACGCATCAAAAAAACTCAGTCCGATAACTTGAACGATAACAAAAACAGAGTGTAGATCTACAAAAATGGGGGAAAAACTGAACCTAAACTAAAGTGGTGATAAATCATATTTTCTGAATAAAGTGCTACATTATATATAAAGTGTCACATTATTGATTTTTAAGATTTCGCTCTATCGCTGCGATAAGAAATCGATAATGGTTCTATTATTCTATTAGCAAAACAGTGGGGCGTTTTTATGAGGGCGGCAATACCTGTGTGTATTTTCGCTGATAACTTGCACATAAAATGCAGTGCTATAAACAATATATGACCATTGCCTGCTTAGTTGGCGACTTGGGGCTATCAATTGTTGACATTCGCTGCGGAATTTTCAATTCATTTCCGTGTTCCCCATACCCATTCCCCAATGCATTCGCCAGCGAAACGCGCGCATCGATAGCTTTACCATATTTGCCAACGCCCCATGCCTGATGCACAATGCCCGATGAGGCATTGGGCAGCGAGAGAGCTTTATCATTGTTTGCACTTCTGCCCCTCATTTATCACCAGCAATTGGGCGTCCGACCGACCGTCTCCCTATCTGACAGGAGAGAAGAAGGAGAGGCGATTGGCGCCAACAGCGGCGGCGATCGAAGCGACAATAATGCCCAACGAATCGATTAATTGCCGGCACAGTGCCTGCATAGATAAACAGATGCCATAACGCAATAATACCTCCCTCCTCCTACAAATGAATATGCATGAACTGTGGAAAAAAACTATACTATATAGTATATATATATACATATATATTACAAATTTGTCTGCGGCTGCAACAAAGCTTTTCATCCTCTACTGTATGTTTCATGAAATGAGATTCGAGTTAAGGTACTTCTCTCAACTGAGTAATATTCAAATAAATGCGATCATACTTTAAACATATTACAGCTGTCCCAAGTGAAGGCAGCGAGGGCCAATTAACTGCTTAAAGATGAAACATGTTGCACCAATTTCTCTAATCGGTTTTTATACAAGTTGAGTCTTATTTCGATTTATTATTGTTTCACAAAAAACTTATCTTTTTCTTTCAAAATAATATTGCGAAAACATTCTGCACGTCGTTAGTGAGTTGTATATTCTATTTCTGTGATGAACATAAAATTCCATGATAAATCTGCATACCAAGTTTGGTGTCTCTAGCTGGCGGGGTTAAAAAGTTTTCGGTGTTCATACAGTCGAACATAAACTTAAACAAAACTCGTATGTATGTTTGAGTACAAACTTCCAATTAACTTTATTTCTTAGCAATCTGATCTTGTCGTTTTCAATTTAAGGTAAGGAACTTACGCAGACATATCTATGTATATGGTTACATCTCGTTGTGTGTTACAAACACTCGCACATTCCACACACCCCGCTCTTTATCTTGAAGTACAGGGCATAAAAAAGCACCCCAGAGAGATGAAATAAATTGCTGGCGCTGGAACGAAATGTGCCGTGCGAAATAACAAAGAATTGGCGACGTGAATTCGCAACGCCCTCAATCGAGACGAAAGTGAAATGCCTAAACAGGGGGTGAGGGCAGGCGTAGGAAGAAAATTACATATCCAGCAAAGGATAAATGGGTATCGTAACAAATCAGCGAATGCTCACTTAATGCATTAACAGGATAGAAGTAAATAAATATGTTAATTTAGTGAAAAACTTTTTTCCTTAAAAGTCACATCTGAAACATTGTCGTGTCGGGTCTAAATGTGATTGGAAAAATCATATGAGCTTTATACTTGTAGAACCTTTTTCATATATATTCTTAAGTCGATTGACAAGACAAATTAGCTCGATTGGACAAGTCCATCCATCTGTTCGTTCGTCCGTCTGTCTGGGTGATGAAATTTTTGTTCATCATGAATATATTATAAACTTAGTAATTCTGTTAAAAACTAGTTCATTTGAATATTTCAGAAACATGTACTGCTGAATAACTAATATTTGATTTTTCTTATTCTTTTTTTAGGTTAAATAAAATCTTTGGGTTTGTTTAATTGGGATATACTCGAGGTGGATCTACCACTAAGTACATACTTGATTATTATTGTAGATGTTTTGTTTTTATAGCCTGTACCCAAAGGGTGAAAGGCTATACTAGTTTGTATTTAATTATTGTTTGTCTTTTAGCTTAGCATAGTCTTCTAAATATAAATACGTATGTAGCTCGGCTTGTGGCAACTTCAAAAAATGTGTGTGTACCCCCTCCCCCCCTGAAAACTGCTGCAGTAGGTGTTGAAAATGCAGGCTTTATCGTTCCCTTTGACGTCAGTTGGTGGCCGCTGCCTTAAATGGAGGCCCACCACCAGCAGCACTGCAGCAGTTGGCTGCCAATTTGCCGCTCTCTATTCTACGCTCTCCCTCTCCGCCCTCCTCTCTCCACTCTATGATCTGCTGGCAATGCCGCAGTCGATAAAATATAATCGAATGACGTGCGCGGTAGTTTGTAAGCCGGCCGGCTGGCCAGCCGTCCAGTCGACTGCAGTGACAACCAAAGGAGGGAGGGAGGGAGGTAAGTGGGGACACACACACACACACATGTGTCGGGGCTATTTGTTTGTTTTGTTTTTGTTTTGGTACAAATATTATTCACTTAATGGAATTATTTATGCAAATTTTATGCACAAACGCAAAGTAAGAAAAGTTGTTGCGAACAAAAAGAAAACAAACTTTTATTTTATATTGATAACAACATGCATAAATCACAACAAAAGCAACAACAGCCACAACAACTACAATTGCAGCTCTGTGCGTGTGTTTTTGTGTGTGTTTGTATGTATTTGCATAAAATGCACTTTGCAAGCAAGACGTTCGCAACTTGTTGACTTCAAAATAGCAAACGACCAGGAAAGGTTAGAAGGAGCGAAGGAGGAAGGGAGGGACAGAGATAGGGAGGAAGAGCGATAGCTATAGAGCGGGCGGCAGCGTCGCGACGCCGGCATTTGTCAAAGCATTTGTTGTTGTTGTAGTTGGGGGGGGGGGGCCTGCCAATAGTTTTCCATTTTGCCAACAAATACAAATTGGTTTCAACGAGTTCGACGGCCAGTATTTGTAGTTGTTGTTGTTCTTACGAATGGGACGCATGCGCAGCAAACGCCCGCAAATAGCGCCAATAAATGACAAGCATGCAATTTGAAAAAAAAAAGGAACTAGAGATGTGCGTGAGCTGCGTGACACAGGGAAGTCATTCAAAAGAAATTACATTCTTGTTCATAACATTGAAAACTCATTCAGCATATATGTATATAATAACAATAATAATTATTATTAATTGTACATTTCTGTACATATGCATATAGTTTGCACGCAAATTTGTCTTCTTTTTCAAGTAGATAACTATATCTGAGTGCAGTATTCTTGAATTCTTTTAATTGAGGACACATTTTATTCCATCACTTGTGAAATTTAACAAATTTATATGCAGACAATTTGTACGATAACTCATCTACAATATACAACATTTTAAATTGTTTGATAAAATTAGATTTCTAACCTGTTATGAGCCAGCAATAGAAAACTTCTTTGGAGAAGGTAGACTGCTTACAATTTCATCCAATTACCTGTAAGAAAGGAAAGCGAAATATATTAAATTGGAATAAATAAATAAATAATTAAATAAGATTGATATTTGCAACCCTTTAACAGAGAAATAATTGTATTACTTTTTTATTATTATTGCATTTATTTTTGCTAACTTCATATCGAATATCGATTAAAAGGCAATCAGACCTTGCTTTTAATCCATTCTAGAACTTTCTATTGATTAATATAATTATAATTATAATAATATAAGAATTCCTTTTGTGCCATAGTTATACTCTATAAAAAGGTGCCATAGCTTTTTCAAATGGTTTCAAGATAACTAGAGCTCATAGTTGATCTCATCAATATATTTTCAGAAGAACGTTTTACTAACAACAAATTAGGGAGGTCATATAACCATTGGCCCCAACAAGAACACCTTTTTCTACACCATACCTAAAAGTAAAAATAACTTAAAAATATATTTACTTGCTAGACTGGTATTATAGCAGAAACTAAATTATACTGCTGTAGCAGAACTAACAATAGAGTGTTAAAATAAAATCATTAAATCATCATCTCTTTTTAATTTGATTCGAAGTAGGCTTAAGGAGATGACCTCCAGGTCTTACGACCTTTGATGGACTACTGGATTATCGGTCATTGAGCTTATAGTCTATTATTAGCCTAATGATTTCATTGTCCAACTATATTGGCTTTCGCATAATTACCTAACAACCTAACAAATTAGCATAATTTCATTTAAATCATGCCTTAAAGTAATAAGAAAACAGCTTAAAAATACATTCGATTATCAGATAAGACTGATATTGTAGCGGTTGAAGCAAAAGAACTAACAATATCATCGTGATTAGATTCAATTCGAAATCATTATATCATTTGATTTCAGTTCGAAATATACTTAAAGAGATAACCTCTATGTCTTACGACCTTCGACAGACACGTTGGATTTGTGTGTCACTTTTGGATTTGGTCGGTCATTGTGCTTTACGAGTATAGTTGATTTATTAGCCTGAAGATTCTATTGTCTCTATATATGGGTTTTCGCCAACTTATTGTGAATAAGCCTTAGAGCCTTTGATTCTACAGACATGTTTGAATAAATCTGCATACGTTAACATTTGTAGATTTGTTTGCACATTATTTATATTATACTTGTACGAGTATACGAGTATATATCGTAGTAAAAATTTAATATGCATAAGTATTCGTTTTGCCAATGGCCAATGGACAGTGGCCTGTGGCCAGTTAGTTAGTCACCCAGCGTTATCGTTAATTAATGCATAAATAGCCGCACAGCCAGCCACTAGTCGCCAACCGCCAGCAACGACAAGACAAGAAAAAAAAATCAATTTTAAAAATCAACGACTAAAAACGCAGCGCGACAACTCTGTCAAGTTTCAGTTACTAAATTGAACTTTTGAAATGATTTAAGCCAAATGGCACTTTGCATTCAGGGCCATCGACTTGGCCGGCTCGTGCATGGGTGTCTTGGCTTATGGAAACTCTTGGCTCTTTCTGTTTATGTTTCTTCTTCTTCGACGTTGTCACACATTTGTCTCTTTATTTTAAAATTTATTAATTTTGTATTTGGGGGCAGCTTAACTGAAGCGAAAAGAAGCGCGATAAGATTGTGTGGCGAGCGTTTGTCGTAACTGCTTTATGTTACCCACGGATTATTTAACGCTTATAACGTAACGGCAATTGGGTAATCGTTTAAATCTGAGAACCATATTTTCATTAACGAAGCCAACGTTTTATAAGACTTAAATACGGCGCCTTCTTTCATTATGGAAACGCTCTTTTAACATTTCGGGCTGTATGTACGTTTGTCTGTCTGTATGGCTTAAAAGCTGCAGTCACAAACCGGGCCCTCATCTGAAGTTTATGCAATTGGGAGATAATCATATTTTCATTAACGGAGCTTACATTATTATTAATGTTAAGAAGCTAACCAAAGTATTTCAGTATGAATTGTAGGACCTAGGAAGAACTTGGTGTGTTGATATTAAAATATTTACAACCGTTAAATTGGAAGTTAATATTTTCTCGTCGCCGCAAGCTTTTCATTCAACCATTAACTAAAGGGAATGCAATTTGAAATGCTGTTGAAGCATTCCGTCAACTGAGAGCCATGTTTTCATTAATTTGTATATAACTTTGAATGTTAAACTTATGTACATCTGTTTGCGGAGGTTTTAACGTTTTAAAATATTATTAAAATATTAATTAGCAGTAGCACCGTACGTTCTTTTTGCTTATTGTTATTCAACACGGGCTTAAGAGTCCAGGAGCTGCAAAAATATCAGTATACCCTCCCAAGTATCTCCCTACTATATATTTCGTGAGAAGTAATAATAAATTAAAATAATAATAAATAAAAATAATAAATTAAAATAATAATACCGAATTATAAATAATACTAAATGCAAGAAAAAGAGAAACGTCGGCATAAACTTAAATATGAGGGAGGTAGAGCCAGAAACCTAGGCAAAACAGGTAGCAAACGATTCGAATCCCATAAGGGAGTATCGAACTGGAACTGAAAATTGATAATAATATTAAGAAAAGCCTGTCTTGGCTTAGCAACTAACTTGCTCATGAAAGATAGAGAACGATTCAAGTCCCTTGAAAGAGCACCAGAAGAACTGCTTTGGTCGCAATTCCTCTTTCTTCGCTCTATCGTAAAACTACCTCTCCCATTATAGCGAATATTTATAGAGAGAGAAATGCCTGCCTCGAACGGATCTTCTTTATGATTAAAGTAAGTGGCACGACTGTAGTTCGTTCAGCGAGCTCCAAACTAGGCCCCAAAACTGTTTTCAAGACTCCCCTCGGATTGGAACACCTGCTTAGATAGTGTCTGCGTGAGTGGGTGGGTGTGGGGGTAGAGGTTCATGGTCCAAACACACGCACAATAGCAACAACAACAGCGACGAAAAAGAAATTCGCAGTAGCAGTGAAAAAATGCGTAAAACGATCATATCCGGCAATTTGTCTGATCCGTGCAATCGTTGTAGAATAATATATAAATGGTGCACAATAACAACAACAACTACAACAACAACTACAACAAATATGTATAATGGTAATAATAATGAGAGCAACAACAACAACACGCTGTTCTCTCCCCTCCAGAGCCCAGCGACTGCATGTCTCCCCGACTGCCTGCCACCCTGCCTGTCTGTCTGCCTGTCAGTCTGGCAAGTGGCTTAAATGAAATAAATGCAACTGCAATTGCAAACTGCAAATAGCACGACAGACCAAACAGACAGACAGACGGATGGACGGACAGACAAACAGACAGACAGACAGATAGGCTGACAGGCAGCGCCATTCTGTCGTCGTCTCGTGGCACTTTGCAGTAACTACCGTTTAGTCAAAGCCAATTTTAGTTGAGAGACAACAACGACGGGATGACGAGATGACGGGATCAGCCGGAATGAGTTGGCTGGGATGGGGAGGGGGGAGCCGTTGGCAGGGGATGGGTGGGGTCGGTTCGGTTCGGTTAGATTCCATTCGATTCTGTTCTACTTTTGAGCAAAGGGCACACATCAGGGGCGATTAAATGAAACGAACGAAAGAACCAATAAACTGCAGCGCACGGCTAACTCAATTGGAAAATAAATTTCCATCAATGTAAGATTTCTGGTTACCACCGCCCTGCCCCTCCGAAAAAGGCATGCCAACCCCCTCCTTACAATTTGTTGTAGTTCTTGTTGTGGCAAGCTCACCCCAACAACAGCCAATGGAACTAGAATAGAAAAACTGTTTTTTTTTTAATCTTTCCAAGTTTTGGCACACGAGGAATTCAAGGAATGGCGGAAAGAGCCAACATGCGATTCATTAGAAAATGTTTTCATATATTTCTCAACTCGGCAGCACAGCATCAGGCATCAGGCATCAGCACATCTCATAAAAAGGGAAAATTCTTTTGCGGTGCTGAAAGGTAATAAATAAATGCAAGATGCGGACACGTGTGCCGTTAATCCAAAGGCAGCAGCAGCAGAAACAGCAACGGCAACAGCCACCACCACACCATCACCAGCACCATCAGCATCTTGCCCCGGCCACGCATGGTGCGTCGTTCTAATTAACGTCGTGCCACACACACACACACACACACACACACAGAAAACACAGAGTGTGTGTTCTTGCAGCTTTACAAAAAAAGATGAAAGCACGGAACAGGAGCAGAAACAACCCAGCCAGTAGGGTCATGGAAATGCACAAATGAGTGTGGAGTTGGGACTCGGAGTCGGGTCGGAGATGCAGATGCAGATGGAAATTGAAATGCAGTTACAGGCCGAGTCCAAGTCACACACATATCTACAAGTACTACACATATACGAGTGTTTTACAAGTATATAGTACACACATGTTGGATGCGAGTGAACACTGCTTATAGAAGAACCAGAGTAGAACAGTCCACCAATTATGGTATTAGGATGGTTTACTGCACCGATCAGAATATCACGAGGTACTATGTAATTTATAATCTACTTAAGATATCTTAATAAATAATCAAGTCATTCCAAAAAGAGTGGTTTTTTACTGAAGCTTATATCATTTTTTATAAACTTGCTCTGCATATGAATAAGACAAGTCTATGTTCCAAATTTGATATTTCCAGCTGTCCTGGTTCAAAAGTTCTTCGGGTTCATACAGACAAACGGACGAACAGGCAGGTGGACATGTACATTATATTTGATTCGCCATGCTGATCATACATGTATTTATCACAAGGAGTCTGCCTTGCTTCTTAGGTCTATTACATATATTTGCTGTTTAGATTTTCTGGATCACGCCTCGAGTAAAGAATTTAAAAAGCACCCTACATGCCCAGTTTGGTGTCCGTAGCTGCTATGACTCGAAAGTTATCGAAGTTCATACACTCAAATACACGGGCGGACAAACGAATGTGTCTCTATCGATTCACCTCGTCATCTGATCATACATCTACTTTCTTTTGTCCTAAATATATATCGAATGGGGCGGAAATGTAGCGCCGCTCTAA